AGTGGTATATGTTAACTGATTTTAATCCTCATAACCATTCTAAATCCTCATAACCACCCACATAGAATGGTTATGAGAATTTATATCAGTTAACATATAAAAAGCACTGAGAACAGTACCTGGCAGAGTACCAGTAAACCCATTGCCATTGAGCTGACTCTGATTGTGCTCCATAGGGTTTTTCCAATGGCTGATTTTTTTGGAATTAGATCACCAGGCCTTTCTTCTGAGGCACCTCTGGGTGGTGAACCTCCAACTTTTCAGTTACCAGCTGACAGCATTAACCGTTTGTACCTAGCTGAATAAGTTTGGTATAACTGCTACTGTCGTTTTTATCATTACTGTAATTATTCCTATTAGCAGTATACTCAGTTTGGAGAAGAAAAGGCTAAGGAGACACAGGAGAACCACCAGCCACCTAGCTACCGTGTGACTTTATGGTCTTAAGAAAAGTGGAGCCTAAGACTGGATTCCAATTCTGACTCCTCCACTCACAGTTTGGTGACCTTTGCAAAGCCTTTAGGTTCTCAGAGCTTGTTTTCTCATCTGACTATGGGGTGGGGTAGGGTGGGAGGGCAATGAGCCTTGCCTTCCTTCCCTAACAAGCTTGCCATGAGGATCAAAACGTGATAGTGGATTTCGCAACCTGCAGTGTAGTTATTTCTATTGTAGCTTCATTGGAACTGACAGCTGTTAGGGAGGAAGGAGGAGATGTCTTTAGGGTTGCTTTAGTGACAGAACCAGGACTAGAGGGTAGGAGTGATTATGACATAAACTGCAGCTTTACCTAAGAGAGTATTTTCTAACAGCTAATGCAGAGGTACTGAGGTTCCTGACATGAGAAGGATTCAATCATTATGTCAGAGTGGAGGAGTCATCTCCAAGATTCAGGACTTTCTTTCTGCGCCATCCTGCCCTCCACAGAGCCTGATTTCCAGTTTGTGCAGGTGTGTGGTGTCTCCCCAGCACAGCTAGGAACAGATGCCCCAGCTCAGAGCCTTCCCTGCTCTGCCCGCTCCCTGCAGCTTCTCTCTCTGGAACACTGCCCCTCCTCACTCATTCCTGCTGCCACATCCCCCGCTCTGCCATCTCCAAAAAGAAGATTCCATGTTCAAGCCCAAGTTCGTCCTTAAGGCCAGCTTAAATCCCTCCTGGGACTGAATGAAAACTATTTTCTTGGGCTCTGTTTTCAGGGGAGGTGGCTGCAACTGGCTTTCTGCATTGGACCAAAAAAACTCTGTTGGCCAGAAAGGGACTGCAAAGGCTGACCCTTATGGGTGGACACTTAGCACTTCCTTGCAGAATCAGAAGGGTCTTCTGTCCTTCCTCCTTTCCTAGAAGGTACAAAGCAGCCCAAGGCCCCGTGTCTCCATCTTCTCCCCCTCGGCTGGCTCCAGCCCTCTGCTGTCTGTGACCAGGTGCCAGCAGATGTGAATTCCTGGTCAGGCTTTGCTTTACTCCAGTCAGCTCATGCACTCCTCTGTCTCTCATCCACTGATTTCCACCTCCTCCCGGCTTCCCCTCAAAGGAACCACTCTTCTCAGCTGCTACCTCCCCCACCCACCACCATTAGCTGTGATTCACACTCAGGTCATCACCCACCTGGCAGCATAAACCTGTCCACCCCACCCCTGCCTCTTTACTTAAACAGGAACCGAAAGCCCATGGATCTTCCCTCCTGCACTCCTTGACAAATACTCATCCCTCCTATTGCTGCTGTTTCCCACCAGCCACCCTCAACCCTGGGATACCTTTGTCCTGGCTCTTCCTTAAGTAGCAATGGGAGAAAGAGCTTTGAAATCAAACACACTTGGTTTGTGACTCAGCTGCTAACTTGAGACTACTGGCTCCTACATGTGGGGGTTTGATTTTTGAAGCCCAGTTTTACCACTTGCTACAAAGGAGCTCTGGTAGCATAGTGCCTAAGGCACTTGACTGCTAACCAGAAGGCTGGCGGTTCAAACCCACCAGCCACTCCTCGGAAGGAAGGTTGGGCAATCCTACTTCCGTAGTGATACTGCCTCAGAAACCCAAGGAGGGGTCGCTATGAGTTGGGGCCAACTCAACGGCACATAACAACAACAACAACCTTGGACAAGTTACTTAACTTCTCTGGGCCTTGGTTTCCTCATCTATAAAATGGGAGTAATTGTGGTACTTCAACAGAGCTGCTGTAAGGATGAAACAATTTAATTTATATTTATATTAATTTATGAAAGTATAAGTACTTTATGCATCAGCTATTATTGTTATCATTAGCTGCCTGACTTTGACCAAATTATTTCACCTTGCTAAGGCTCCATTTCCTCATCTGCAAAATGGAGACAACAGTAATAAAAGCATAGACTTGTCAGGATTCAATGAGATAACATTCATATAGCCCCCAGCGCAGGGTTAGTCAGACACATAGCAGGTACTCAAATTTCCTTCCCCTGAGCTAGAGAGCCTTCCCTGATCCCCTCCCTTCCTGGGTGTTCGCCCCCTCCTAACAGCAGCCCTTTATACCACCTAGGCACTCCAGCCCCTCCCGTAGGAGGGATTATTTCCTTGTGGATTTGGGTTCCCCCATCAGCCTCCAAGTCCCTGGAGGCAGAGGCTACAGCATCTACTCCCTGGGCCTTTTTCCTTGATGGTCCGGAGCCCTGTACCCAGTAGAACCTTAGAAAATATACAGGCCTTGGCAGAGGCCCTCTCCATCTCTCATGGACATGTCTTCAATCACAAATATTCATTGAGTGACTGCTACGCTGCTGCCCAATGTCCCTTCCCTCTACCCTGCCCCACTTCCTGCTGGTTCAAGCCTAGTGGCCTGCTCCACCACCAGGGCTTAAGGGAATCAGGGGTGGGGTGAGGGAAAAGGTTAGGGCAGATGGGCTACAGGGGGTCAAGAAGAGGAGCAAAGCCTGAGGGTGCCAGAGGAACAGAAATGAGGCTGAAGGGAGGAAGCAAAGAGAGCCAAAATGAGATGTTACAATATCTGTTCGGAAATTTTGTTTATTCCACATCCCATGTCTTGGTATTAAAAAGAGGCAGGGTTTTGGGATTAGGCAAACAGAGAATGAGTCACAGCTAGTTGACTTACTATCTCTGTAACTTTGTGACTTGTGTCTCTTTGCCACAGTTTTCCCAACTGTAAAATGAGTATAATAACAGTACCTGTCTCATAGGATTGTCCTGAGAATGACAAAAGATGCCCATAGAGTACTGAGCAGCATCTGGTGAACGGAGCAGCTTTTCAGTAAATGCCCCTGCCCTGAACGTTATATGGCCAATTAGTCAATGAAATGGCCCAGCAGTTTTTTCCTCTGCAGGATGATATCCCAACCCTTGTTATTGGTCCATGACACACCTTTGGACACACTAGAATATATGTGGATCTCTACCCACAACATCTGACCAATCTCAATCACCCATAATTGTACACATTTCCAATATGTGTGTTCCTACACACAACATGTTCACACACACACACTCACCCATTCACACACACAAGCACTCAGAAAAGATCTTACACTCCTGGAAGGCAAAGACTGTCACTCACACCATTTCTATTATGCTTATCACAGTGTGCTGCGTTGTGCAGATCCGCCCGTCTCCCCCATCTTCTTTTACCTTTCTGTCCTCCGGTATCTAGCAGAGTACCCAGCCTTCAAAAAACATGTCATTGTTGTTAGCTGCCATTGAGTTAGTCTTGACTCATGGAGATTCTATGTATTACAGAGTAGAACTGAGCTCCATAGGGCCTTCTTGGCTATAATCTTTACAGAAGCAGACCAACAGAGATGCTGGGTGGGTTTGAACCACCAACTTTTCAGTTGGTACCCAAGTGCAAACAGTTGTACCACCCAAGGACCTTCAATAAAGATAGTATAAATTTTTAATGAATCTATTTTGCCAGGTGCCTAGTACTGTGTCTGGTTTGACGCAAGTATTCCCAACGTGTGGCATGACTGAATGAATACAAATAAAAAGTTCGTAAGAATACTCAGCCCTGCCCTCCTCTCTTCTCCATGGTTACCACCCCCTTCAGCTTCCACACCAAAAATTGGCAAAGGGCAGTGATGAAACTCAAAACTTGAGGACACACCCAAGCACTTAAAGGTCAGGAACCTGGGCAGGTGAACAGTGCAGTCCAGCAGGGATCACCTCCGGGACATTTTAGCCTGGGTCTTTGGGAAGCAGCTTAGCAAGGGGTTGCTTTCTCTCCCCCCCCCCCTTCTCCTTTTGACCCGGTTACTCCCCCACCCCCAGCTTCAAGCCACATGGACTGCTTTGCAGCTCTAACCACTCCCACCCCACTTTGGTTTCTCCAAAACAAACTCTTCTGAACAAAGACCATCCACTACCACAGCACCTGTTATGGCCTCACCTCTCCTTGCCTCACCTCACCTGACCTCTCCATCAGATTCTTCTGTTGAGGTTGAGAAGGCCTTGTTCTTTGCTCTCATCTGTCTCCAGAGAAGGGAGGGGGCTGATCTCTACCTTGCCCTTTTGGAAGTTATTAGCATCTTAACCTTATCAGCACTCCTTTCAACTTGCCACAGGAGAAGGGAAAGGAAGAGGAGCACATTTTTGGACAAACAGCCACACTCTGAAGACACCCCAGACACTCAGATGTTTCCACTGGGCAGAGGCACCAGTCCATCAAACCAAACCAAAACTCACTGCCATTGAGTCGATTGTGACTCATAGCAACCCCACTGGGTTTTCAAGGCTATAAATATTTATGGAAATAGATTTCCCTAGCTTCCTCCCATGGAGCAGCTGGTGGGTTTGAACTGCTGACATTCTGGTTAGCAGCCAAATGCCTTACTATGCCACCAGAGCTCCTTGGTCCATCAGACCAGGGACTCCCAAAGAGGGGTCTACCAGATAATGGGAACATTGGCTTCTACCCTGGGGTCTGAGGTTCTGCCTGCCCAATGAGTACATCTGTGCCTTAACAGGGAAGCCAGGCCACCTTTTGAGACTTTGGGGAAGTGGCAGAGGAGCCAACTAACCTGTAGGGATTGAGGGTGCAGACAGTTACAGCTGGGAAGACGAGCTTGTCTGAGTTGAGATTGATGTTGAGGTTGACAGGGTAGCTGAAGTACTCTCCGAACAGCAGGCCGAACTGCCAGTACATCATGCCGAAGGTGCAGAGCCAGAGCACAGCCCAGAAGGCCGTCTTCATGCGGTTGTGCTGGGAGCACACCAGCCGGATGGCACCATGGATGGTGGTGTTATTGCAGAAGAACTGGAAGAGCTCTCGGTAGGAGCGGTGGAACTCGATCAGGGCCTCCTCCTCCTCTGTGCGCTGGTCAGGGGCCACAGTTTCAGGCCCCAGCCCCTGCTCCTCACGCTTGTCCCCCTTCATGTGTCCTTGAGTGGGATGGAGAGGGAAAGGAGAAGAATCAGGGCTGAGCTCTGGGCTCTGTGTCCCCACCCCTATCACCACCTTTAACTCAAAGTGAGGCTGTTCCTGGTCATGCCTGCTTCCCACCCTGAGCCTTCTTTCTCCCATTTCTCCCTCTGTCATCTTCCCAGGAGCCAATTGACCTGCTGGAGTCTGAGCCAAAAGGGCTGGAGCTGGGCTTCCCTGAAGTGGCCTCTCCTCTGCTTCCCTGATAAGGCCACCGTTTTGGTTTCTGTCCTAGCACCTCCTTCTTGTCTCCACAATAGTCACTCTCTGCCCTTCTTAGTCACTTTCTTTGGTCTTCTTCCCTTCAGGGTCTCTGGGACTTAGCTCCTCTCTCTCTCCCCCTTTCTCTGCTTTGTGGTTCTCTTTGGGGGTCTTTGTAAGCTCTCTTCTTCCTTGCCTTGTCTCCTTTCAGTGTGCTCTCTGATCCTGCTCTCTCTTCCTCGTCTTTTCCCTTCTCAGTCTGGGCTCTGTCCTCTTGTCTCTGGCCTTGGCCCTAGGGCTGTGTCCTGACTGTCTCTCCACCCAGAGACGCAGGATTCCAGGAGGTCTGGACTGCCTCCTGCTCCACACTCCCAGGTTGTGACTGGACTGGGACTGGTTCCTTTCCAGTTGAATCTGGCAGCTGAGCCTCTCCTCCCCCTCACCTGACAGGTGCAGTGGCCTGGCCTGGGAGCCCGCCCGCCCGCTGGAGCCTTGGAAGTGACAGAAGCCTCATTAGCATCTCAATTAAAGGTGAGCAGGGCAGGGGGAGGGACTGAGGAGGAGTCTGAGCTGGCAGCTCTCCAAAGGGAGGAGGGCCTTGAGGGCAGGTGAGCCAGGGAACACCAGCCAGGTGGGAGAGGGTCCTGAAAAAGAGTCTGGACAGGGAGCTGACAGATAAGGAGACTGGGAGACAGAATGGCAAGTGAGGGTCAGAGATGTTGAACAAAGAGAAGGAGCCTTAACACAAAGCCAGAAGAGCAAATCCAGGGAAAAGGAAGATTCAAGATGAGTGAGAGGAGGTTGGGAAACCAGGAAAACAGGGAAAGCAGAAAAGGGGAGATAGATGGTCGTGGAGGGTGTGAGGATTGAGGGAGAGAAATGGAGAAGGGGCTCATGGGGAACAGAGACAGAGAGGAGGGTGAAAGGAGGGAGCAAGGCAGGAGAGCAAGAGGAGGGAGCCCTGGTGGGCTTCCTGAGTCCCCTCCCATGGGAATCTCTCCAAGGGCACCCAGGGGTTAGCGACACTTCTAGGTCCAGAAAAAGGACAAGAGGGTTTTGCAAGGTTCGTCCCTGCTCAAGAGAATGGGAACACCTCCTGGCTCCACCCCCACACTCAGACTCTGGGGGAGGACTCCTCTGCCTCTTCCTCCAGGTCCATCCTTTTCCTTCCTGACTCCTCACACCACCCTCTCTTTACCCAAGCTAGGGAGGGGCCCAGGTGAAGCTGGGGGCTGGGTGGGGCCCCAGGACATTCTGTACTTTTTTACACCATTGGCTGCCAGGCCAGGAATGTGTAATGTCCCCTGTTGTGGTCACGGGGTTGAAGGAATGTGGGCACCGAGAGGCAGCTCAGGATCCAGGCAGGGCACTGTGGGCGCAGACCAAAGCCCAGGGAGAGGCAGGGACAGAAAGCACTGAGGGGCGGCAGGGATGGTCAGCTCTGGGTGGTGGGAAGGAGACAGTAGGCATGGCTAAGGTCTCCACCAGCCCTGGAAGAAAGGAGAAGCTAATTGATAGGGGCTGTGTTTTTCCTCCAAAATCTCTACCCCAAACTTCATCTAGCCAGAGGATACCAAATGAAGTGCCAAAGGAGTGAGCAAGTAGACAGGAAAGAGTCAGAGAATTGGGCCCCAAAAGAGGGAAACACAAGAGAGGCAATGCACAGCCCAACTAAACCAAACCAAACCTCTGCCACCAAGTTGATTCCCACTCATAGCAACCCTGTAGGATACAGTAGAACTGCCCCATAGGAGCTCTGGTAGCATAGTGCCTAAGGCATTTGACTGCTAAACAGAAGGCTTGCGGTTCAAACCCACCAGCCACTCCTCGGAAGGAAGGTTGGGCAATCTACTTCCGTAGTGATATCGGGTCGACTGGACAACACAACAACAACAGCAAGGCTATAAATCTGTACAGAAGCAGACTCATATCTTTCTCCCATGGAGTTGCTCATGGGTTTGAATGGCCAGCCTTTTGGTTAGCAGCCAGTACTTTAGCCATTGTGTCATCAGGGCTCCTGCACACAGCCCAGACCCTGCATATGACAGTGGGGGCCCGTCTTGTGTGGGATGCTGCCTCAGAGCAGCAGGCCTGGGCGTCTCTCAGTGGATGTGCAAACACAGGCCCCTGAGCACTGATACAGACTTGTGGAAGGAGAGAGGCCTATAAATGCACCAAGATAAGAACAAGTACTATAGGAGCATGGGGGAGGGGAGGAAGGGCTCACTGTGAGGAGACTCAGGAAGACTTCCCAGGGAAGGTGGCAACTCAGCTGGATCTTAAAGAACAAGGAGTTTATCAACCAAGAAGAGGGAAGAGGGTATTCCGGATTCAGGGTACAACCCAGTCTGTGGCTTCTTAAAGTGAGAGCTGATGTCAACCATGATTTCATACCTGGTCCATTGCTTACCTTGACACCTGCTTATGATACTGCCTCCGGGGAGGGAAAGGCTGGCTTTTTCTTCATTTTTCAGATGAAGAAACAGACACTCAGCAAGGATAAGCAAAACATAATAGCAGCAGAGTTAAAAACAGAATTCAGAATGTCTTTTCTCCAGCTGAGATTGTCTACTTCATGCTTTTGCCATTCTTCCCAGACTCATAATAGATTGGGGCACCTGGTTTTGAGTGCCAGGAAGAGTCCACATGCTCACATCCACACAGAGTCTGTGGGTCCTGATTCTCTCCCTGGCTGTAAGAAAAGCTCTTCACACTGTTCCCACCTCCCTAGTGAGACCCAGATATTCTACAAGTTCCTGTCTCCCTTGAATCAGGCTCTTAAACTAGGAATGGCTGACCTACAGACAGGGTATGCAACTCTCTGCCTGTTTGATCACAAAGGTTCTGAGAAGTACCTCCCTGACTTTTCTATTTGCTAGCTGGTGCTTGAAACCCCACCACTGGCTTAAGGCAGCATGGCAAATAGTTTTCATCTCAAGGCTCCGTGAAACAAACCGTAAGGCCTGGTGTGGGCTCAGCTGGAGAGTGTGTGGTGAGCTGGCACTGCTTTCAGGGGGACAAGAGTGGCAGCTTGCTGTTAAACACCATAGCATTCTAGATCTGGAATGGGCCCAAGCAACCTGGTTGTTATGAGAAAAACAGGAGTCAGAAACCTGCACTTCTGTCACAGCTCCATTTAAATATTGTGAAGTACAGAATTAATACCCAAATAACATATCTGTTGCAATCAGGGCTTTAAACCAGTTCAAAATGGTTCAGTAATTCAGTGGTAAACAAGGGCCACGTATGCATTTCATAGTAGCCAAATATGTTTTCTGCAATAATTTCACCGGTGTAGAAAACAGCTATGCTCTATTCAAAGATGGCAGCCAACCACGCCACTTTGAATGAATGTTGCTCTCCTGTGTTCTGCTAATAATCAAATCTCCCACATCAGGCTTCTGAAACTTTGAGGAGGAAGAACTGTGGCAGGATTTTTAGAGAGCAATATTTTTGGACTCTGGAAAGGAACACACATTCAAAGCAGTGTGGTCAGCTGCCATCTTGGAGTGGAACACAGATGTTTATTTCCTGCTTTGGTCAAAATACCATGGACAACAGATTTGGTTGCTATGCAACACGTACGTAGCCCTTGTTTACGGCGGTAATTTCTGAACCATTTCTAACCGTTTTTAAGCCCTGGTTGCAATACAATTTTCCAACAACACAGAGGTATATAGAAGCCCCCATTTATCACATTCCATTCCCACTCTTCTGTCCTAGGGGAGTCACTGTGATTTGTGTACCCATCTATCTGTATCTTTTTGTGTGACTTTATATTATTTACATGTATTTTTCCTAAATCTTATTTATTTTGTTGTTATTGCTCAGAATATACACAGCAAAACATATACAAAGTCAACAGTTTTTACCTGTACAATTTAGTGACCTTGATTACACTCTTACCTTACCTACCTACAAACAGCGTACACAACTCTCAAGTTGTGGAACCCTTCTCACCCTCCTTTTCTGAGTTGCTCCTCCCTTATTAACAAAAACCCACTGCCCCCTAAGGTTCCTGTCTAATCTCTGGAGTTGTCTTTGTCAGTTTGATCCCATATAAATAGTTCTTAAAAGAGCATAATGCTCAAGGCAAGCTTTTTTTTCTTTTTTTTTAAACTAGGTAAGCTAAACTATTGTTCAGTTTTAAGATGACGTCAGGGGATATTTTTGGTTTATAGTTTAAAGATTATCTCAGGGCAATAGTTTCAGGGGTTCCTTACATGTATTTTTAAAATAACATTTTATTGTGTTTTTGGTGAAAATTTTCATAGCAGTTTAGGTTTCCATTCAAGAATTTCCATACAAAGAGTGTATCCAAGATCATATATAGGGTTGGCAGACAATGGGCCTATAAGTTCATGTGAATGATCAGAATTCCCAGGTGTATAGTAGAGCTGACAAG